GTATCAAGGTCTGGGCCATTCAATCTCCAAAAGATAACAAATAAAGTACAATATAGAAGGGGAACAAACATTTGTCTCTTCTCTGTCTTGATATTTGTACCTTGGTAATACTTGGGTTAGAGAAGAGAGAATGCACATTTCAGAGCTCCTGGTGAGAGAGGAAACAAATTTGCTTTAATTTCAAGACAGTCATTTCAGATACAAAAGAAGAAGTCTTGTCATGTCAGGCTTAGAAGCTTGCAAACCAATTATAGGCCATGTGCACAAGGGAATTTCACTTAACAGTTTCAAAGTGCCATCAGAGATGAAGGCTCTGAGTTTAGAACTTTAAAAAACAGTTTATGGGGCTGGGAAGGTGGCTCAGTGGTAGAGCGCTTGCCTTGCATGCCTGAGGCCCTGGGTTCGATTCCTCAGCACCACATAAGCAAAAAGAAAAAAGCTGGCAGTGGCGCTGTTGCTCAAGTGGTAGAGTGCTAGCCTTGAGCTGAAGAGCTGAGGGACAGCGCCCAGGCCCAGAGTTCAGGCCCCACGACCGGACCCCCCAAAAAAAAAAAACAGTTTATGTATGTAAGTGTGTAAATATATGCATATATGTACATATACATATATATATATATATATGGAAGAGGGTAATGGCTCAAGTGATAGAGCACCAGCCTTGAGCAAAAGAAGTTATACAAAGTTGAATTAAAGCCCTAGTACCAGATATATTTAAAAGAATGCTGTAATTCCAGTTAGTAATAAATGTTTACTTGAACTAACAAATGTATTTGTTACTTGTTCCTGTACTATATATTACTGTAAAATCAGGGCTTATAAATAATACAAACTTGTGAGCTCACTATTCTGTAGTCAGAATTTATTCAGGATCTTAACTCAGTGTTTCAGACATTTGCAACTAGCAGGCAGCACTTTTATCTTGAGGCTTGACTGCTGAAGGTCTACTTCATAGTCACCCTCGTTGTTGGAGACATTAATTTCTTGCAGCAGTGAAACTGAGGGTTCCATGCTCCTAACTGCTGCGGGATAGGCACTGTTCTCAAGTCTACCAGGCTATCTGCAGTTTGCTACCACTCTGGCTTTCCCACCATGTCTGCTTACTCATTAGTTCGGCAGTGAATCTCTAGAGTAAAACTACTAATGTAACTATAGTCATGGCAGCCAACTCGTTCCCATATTCTATGTTTAGAAAAAAAATAACAAGTCCAACAGAGACCTGCATAAAAGCATGGTCCCAATCGAAGGCAGAGATCAGGGAAGATCATCTTAAAAATCCATCCACTACAGTTAACCATTGACTTCCAAAATATTTATGTTCCTCCCACATGAAAATTACATTCATTGATTCTTTCCCAGGATTCCCCCAAAGTATCATTAGCAATATATGAAAATCCAAATTTTATTAGCTAAATCAGATGTAGGTGTGGAAGAGGCTCATGAAGTGTATGTCATTAAGTATAATTCCTACAACACAATTGCTTTCAGTCTATACACCTGTGAAAAGATAAAGGCAAGTTTCATAGCCACAGCACTCCCCAATAGTAGCACAGAGCTACCAACATTTCTATTCAAAAAGAAGGAAAGCAAATGGAAAACACCAAAGGGTATTTTGTCCATAGTAATCCTGTGATGTACCCACAATGCTATTAGAATTCATTGTTGAAGTTTCAACACTAGGCTCTATCTTCAAGTCTCTGTCTATCATAATTTCCTTAGTCTGGGCTTCAAGTTTGACCATGATTCCCCTTTAAGTCAACACAGATAGACTTATAGCTTTAAATATACATGGTTCTCAATCTCTGTATCTTAAGAGAGATCTCTTTATTATTTTTGAGTTGCATCCAGACTAGAAATGAAGATTTTGCTTGACATACTTGAATCACATATCAATCGTTACATACTGAGTAAAATAGCATACATGATAGGGCTGGGAAGGTGGCTCAGTGGTAAAGCGCTTGCCTTGCATGCCTGAGGCCCTGGGTTCGATTCCTCAGCACCACATAAGCAAAAAGAAAAAAGCCAGAAGTGGCGCTGTGGCTCAAGTGGTAGAGCGCTAGCCTTGAGCTGAAGAGCTGAGGGACAGCGCCCAGGCCCAGAGTTCAGGCCCCACGACTGGACCCAAAAAAAAAAAAAAATAGCATACATGATAGCCATGTACTTATTGGTAGAAATTGGATTAGGGCTTGGACTAAGTGCCTGGTTGCTGTCTCTGAGCCCTTTTGTTCAAAGCTAGTGTTGTACCACTTTGACCCATAGCTCTACTTCTGGTTTTCTGATGGTTAATTGGAAATAAGAGTCTCACAGACTTTCCTGCCCAGGCAGGCTTTGAGCCATGATTCTCAGCCTCATCTGTAGCTAGGATTACAGGCATAAGCCACCAGGGCCCAGCCATGATCATCCTTAAATAAGAATAAAATGTTAAAACTTACTGTCTATCCACTAAAATGCTTATTGGCATAATAAAAAAAATGTTATGGTATGATGCAGAGATTTTCAGATTTGGGTCCAAGAAACCAAAGTCCTATTTACATGAACTGATATTCTAATTTCTTTCCCCTCCATTCCAACTTACAAGTCATTACTGAGTTTTAATCACATTCTGCTATGTCCAGAGTTAATCTCTCCATTTTCACCAGCCCAATAGAAAGAGCAGTCAGACCAGCTCTACCTTAGTGTTGAAACTTCAACAATGAATTCTAATAGCATTGTGGCTACATCACATGATTACTATGGACAAAATACTGTTTGGTGTTTTCCATTTGTTTTCCTTCTTTTTGAATAGAAATGTTGGTAGCTTTGTGCTACTACTGGGGGGTGCTGTGGATATGAAACTTGCCTTTATCTTTTCACAGGTCCATAGACTGAAAGCAACTGTGTTCACGTAGGAATTATACTTAATGCAAGAAATTACTTTGAAAAAGCAAAACTCTTACCTACCCATCAAGGTACTGTTTAAATTAAACTTTAAATATTTCATGGATACCAACACAGGGCATTTACAACTTGGGCACTGGGATAAGGAAGCAACCTCTTTCTATACACAAGACACAGTAGCACAGTATTGAAGAGGACCAGCAGAGGTGAATTAAAGCAACCATAAGTCTCATGACGAGAAGAGAGACCCTTCTCTCAGCTACACTGGAAAAAAGTTAAATTATCATCAGAAACCACCATATGCTTAATAACAGTAAAGTGATGTGTGCCCCCAGTAAAAATATGAATATTTCTCCCGCCAGAGCTTTTAGTTTTATTATTCTCAAATTTTTGTAGCACGTCCCCAAAGACTACTCATTTGGTATTATTGTCAAGACTCTGATGCCAAGGTAAGAAAAATTAGTTGCTTCCCTTTAGAAAGCTTTCTAAAAAATCTTTATTTGAGAGCAAAGATATTATATATTTTGTGTAGTCACTAACAACACCAAGGTTAAGTTGTTTATGGAAAAGTCCATCTGGTAATTACCTGACTATCAGCATCTTTGAAGGCATCAATGAGATATAATCAAAATGTCTGAAAGTTTCTTAAAGGGAGAACTGATATTCATTGTTTATAATATCACACATTTTTCACTTTGGTTTGTTCCTTCTCTCTTTAAAGACTATCAGAAATGTCATCTCTTCATGAATGCCTTCTCTAAATCATCTTATCTATTATTCTTTTCTTCTAGGTCTAAAACTTGGTATCCTGATATAACACATCATAGTTCAAAGTATTATAAATGCTAGTTTACTCAAGTATTGTTTCTCCAATCAGACATTAAGCTCTGTGAAGCAGGATCCACCCCTGACTTAACCTTCACATTCCCCCGGGTGCCTCACAGAGCGTCTGGTGACTAGTAGCCTTTAGTGAAAGGTTGCTAGCCACAGGTAGATGGGGCCTTACCACTGTTAACGGAAGTGCCACAAAGATTAATGCCACTATCACACAGGGTGAAAGAAAAGGTCTTGGCTACAATAAATGAAGAAAATAAGTAACTGTAAGTTGACTACATTGTTTAATAGTTTCAACATTAGAATTTCTCTAAATATCAAACTCTCTAGGGTGCTTAGAACATTGTCATTTTTTAAATCCTATAAATAAAACTCACACCTGAAAAGCAATGATATCAAAACATAAAATAAAATTATTTAATTCCCTTTTGAACAGGTCTTGAATGCAATACAAATCAATAAAAGTATTTCTTCTGAGCCCAAAGGAACCAATGTCACATTTAAAAGGCGACTGATTGCATGAGAGTATATTATACATTATACTGTATTCTTTTAAAAGTGAGTTCCAGATCTTATTCTGTAGTTGATGTTCTAATGATGTTTTCTTTATAGCACAATATTCCACAACGAAGTCATGATACACTATAAGACATTTTGTGGTCTTTCCTCTTTGTATTGTCTTCATATACCAGTAAAAAATAAACTCTTTAATAAATAAATATATAATAAATATTTGTAAATGGAAAATGTATAAATAGGTTCATTGTGTAAAAAAAGAGGTCTATATTGGTGTGGCATATTTTATACTCCATAGTCACTTGAGGGTTTTTTGTTTGTTCATTTTGTTTGTTTTAGCTATAATGCCATCACCTGAAAATTTCTACAGTCTTCAGAACTTAAGAGGCAATAATTATGACCAATTATGTCAATTAATTTCTTCACCATTGAAGTATCTATTTTTAAGGGAATTTTCAAAGTAAACATAACAAGAGAGGCAGAGACACCAGCAGCAAACTAGATGATGTTCCCATTATCCACGGTGAACTGATTTTCTGCTTCAGTCTACTGGTAAGGACTGAGCCAAGGTACCTAAGGAAACTTAATCCACCTGTAGATCTTCATCTACTTCCAGTCTATTTCTTTTTGTCTGTATTTTTTCAAAATTTGGTTCTCCCAGCGAAAAACAAACTCTAATAGTCTGACTGTCTTCTCCAGTTGGTATTTAACCATGGGAACTGTTAGAGAAAAGAATGGATGTGATTTCGTTCTTCAAACAGAGACATTTTCATGCTTCAAGTGTACATCAGTAGGTCTTTGTACAATTCTGGAACTCTTTCTGGATCTACTGGTCTTGGTAAGAAATGAGTAAATTTTTGATGTCTTTTGGACCTGGCACCATCTCTTGCAGTCCCGTCTTTGTTCAGTGCCACAAAATACCTGCGGCCAGTGTCTCCGTGTTTATATATATTGGACGAATAAGTGTTATACCAGTTCTCTTCAAATTGCTCCCTGAAGATGCATTCAGCAGTCAGTGTCTCCTGCAAAAGAAAGAAAACCATTAACTTTTTTTCTTTCTCTTCATTTGGGTCATATATTGCTTGGAGTTTTTTCTTCAGGTGACTGTATCTGACAGTTGAGTTCAAAGAACTTTAAAATAATGTTAATTCTCAATTTCATTTTCTTCCTTCCTTCCCTCTTTCTCTCTTCCTTTCTTCCTTTCTCTCAGCTTTACATTCTTTTTCAGATTGAGTCATATGCTTTTTGCTGGGCCAGCCTCAAACCATGTTCCTCCTATCTACTCTTCCCATGTAGTTGCCATTACAAGCATGTCACACCCAACCAATTTCATTTTAAAATGCTTAACAAAACTTGTGAATTTTTACTTATAGCACATTATCACCCTTGTGCTACTACCACCACCAAGCAGGTCTCAAATCTGTCTTGTCCACTGTAGTTACCAAACTTATACATAGCAGGATATCTTACGATAGCTAAGATCTTGCTAATTGGAGGTCATACCTCCAAATCTAATATATCTTCTTTCTATGAATTTATTACAGGTGGTATGTTCCCCACAATTAGCTTCCAACTGATTGTGTTACTATTGAAGTATATGTAGCAAAATCCCAATCATTCCTTGTCTTTTTAAGATGGACTGTATGTTGTCCTAAAGGATAGACCACAGTTTCTTATTTAATCCCACACGTGTATGAAGACTGTCTACATAGGTTTTCAATCTTCCATTAACAATCCTTTACAACTGCATTATTTGTGTCTTTGTCTAAACTGACTCCCATTGTTCTCTGTCACTGGTGGAAATGACCAAACTCTGAAGGCAACTGAAAAGATTTGGGATAAAGAATAGGATTGAGTAGAAGGCTGATTAAGGATTTTAAAAGTATAACGGAATTGTTCTACTGTTGCTTAGGAACGTGGAAATTTGCTAGGATAGAGACTTCCAATGTTTATGGATTTTATAAACTGCTTCAGGAACATATTATTGGGGAACATTTTAATTACAAAATGAGTAACAATTATTTCAAGAATTATAATAGTCATTTAAAAACAATAATACTTACTGAGCCATAAAGTTCTCCTTTGTCATTCATTCCCAGGTAAAGACCACTGTCCACGCCTCTGATACTGACCAGTCCCACTGCCACACTGATGAATTCCAGAATTCCTGAATTTATAAAGAAAACAATGATTTGTATTGATTAGTGTACATATATCTAAAGCAAATGATAAGACTGATGCATGTTGACATTCAACAAATAGAAGCTATTATTATTATCATAAGTAAGTGTATAATAGAGGTATTCGTGGCCCTCCATGTTTCTACTGGTTTTAATTGCAGCCATTTTCAATTAACTAGGGGTGGGGGAGGTTGCTGTTATTGATGTTCCTTCTTCTGGAACAGCATAATTTACAAGAGAATGAAAGTGTATTTTTTGTAATAAAAATGGTTTTATACCTTCTTATATTCTTTTCATAGAGTCTTAAAAACAATCTCTTAAGTCTTAAAGCTGTTATTATCATCCTCATGTGGAATACAGAGAAACTGAGGATCAAGGATGTTTATTGATCTTGTAATTGGTAAAACTAACATTTGAACCAAGTTACTTTTTCTGAACCCTAATCCAGTGTTTTTGTACTCCAGATCACTGTTTCATTGGGATAGTACAGTAGTTTCAAGACTAACAACTACAAAATATGTTGTTTCTGTCACATGATTTTTTAACAAATTGTATCTTTTGAAAAGTAAAAGGACATCATATTTCATTATATCTCATAGCCACATACCAAAAGCTCAATAGGAAAATGGATTTTGTTATCAATAGTTTTCTAGTTACTATAATTAATCAATGGATGACTCATTTCAAAAACATTCCACTTGACACGGTAATACACCACACTTCCAAAAAGTACAATGTACTGCCTCACTCTACATTATCCTGTTTTTCTACACACACTAACCTTTGGACTAATGCTTTTGTCTTCTTCTTCCCCTTAGGCAGGTAAGAATGTATCACCGTACTTTTTATGCTTGGTTCTGCTTCTTCAATAGCTTTGTACCTTTACCCCACCTTAAGCTCTACAAACAGTTTAAATGTGTACCATTTAGCCTGACTCTTGCTCTTAAGTCATTTCTTGATTTATTGTACCAGTTCCTGTTTGGACACGTGATACTCCCAAAGCCAAGGGAAAGTACAGAATCTGACTATTTGCTGATATGGAGGGCTCTATTCTACCCAGAGCTTAATTCACTCTTTGGCAGAAACATAGATTCTTAGCAAGACAAATGAGCTCTTTCAACCTATTAGGAGATCATGTAGAACACTAGAGCTATCAAAGATCTTACAGCAACAATACACTACTAAAAGTTCCTAAGTGGCTTGAAAGAGCCTGTGTCCTTAACTGAGAGCCTAAGGCAAAGAAAAGATAAAGAAGACCTAGACTCCAAAAGATAGTCATCATAATGACAACTATAGAGTGAGGGAATAAAGGGGAAAAAAGACTCACTGCTAAGCTTATCTGTGAAAGATTCCTATTAAAACAAAATTGGCATAAAAATATACCAATTATAACAACTATGCTAAATATTCATTAAAATTAAAGAGTATAATCTGTGGCTGAGATGCATTGCATCTTAAATCCCTTTAGGTATTAAATAATTTTTAATTTGCAATAAACTACTCTTGTCTTTCACAGGAAAGGAATTGATAACCTAAGTAGAATGAAGAATAGAACCAGGTGTCAAGTATAGTAGACTGTAACTTTGATTTCCATCTATACTATTTATATAAAAATATTCATTCTTCCTGGAAATCTCAATGAGCCCTGATTCAGTGTTTCTATTACACGACACACTCTACTTACTCTTTTATTCTTATCTTAACATAATTCTGTTATGTAATTGTATGAAGGAAAAATGATCACATGTGTCCTTAGAGTAATTATATTCAATAGTTTCAAATTTATTAAATAACATTCAAAACCTCATGCATAACCAGGCATAGATTACTTTTACAATGGTTAGTAGAACTGATGGGAAAGTGCCTTTATGTTTTCTTGTGTTCCTCTTAAGGATTTTAGCCACACTTTTTAATTCTGATCCTTTTTTCTCCTCAAGGAAATAGTATACTGCGTAGTAATTTGTAATCGTTTGATTCTTAAATGAGATTTGACAAGTCTTTCTTATTCATAATGTGAGGTGGCAACTACACTAATTCCTTTACAAAGAGTAGACATGAAAAACTTTCCTTAAGAGGTAATCACAGATTTTAGATAGATTTTCTAATGCCCAGTGTCCCAGAAAAAGACTTGGAGGTACTTTGTCTTTCTGGTATCATTTTCAAAGCCAGCCTTTAAAAAAAAAAATCATAATAAACAGGTGAGTCAACCCACCAATGCAACCACATCAGACAAATCTATGGAGAATAGAGGAGAATAAAAGAAGGAGCTTTAAAGGACTATGTTTGATCTCAGGTTAAACTTTTTTTTAAGAAATGATTCCATGTTTACGTATTAAGTCTTTCTACTATACTACTGTGCACAAAGGATCCTGTTATAAATATAAAGCTAACACGGAATTATTTTAGCCTCACCGAGACCTTTCTTAGTATGTCCTAGCATATGGTTTTGAAAATTAAAAATATAGAATTCTCAGCAACTTAAGATAACATTTCAAAAATGATATTTGGTATCTTAAATAATCATTCTTCAGAGTTTTCCAAATTTGTACTTTGATGATGCTGAAATGAGTCTAAAAGAAAAACTAGAAAATAACTTAATAGCAATTGCAGCACTAGCAAAGGAAGTCAAATATAGAGAGATGCATACACCGTTGTACATATTAAATATAACTTCCTCATTACCTATATACCCTGGCAGTAAAATATGATGCATAAGCTCTTGAAGGCCACTAGGATGCACTGTAACGTATCAAAAGGAGTTGCTTATTCCTTTAGCTACCAGATTAATCTGGGTTATCTTTCTATTACGTAACAATGAATAGTTTGTTTCTATATATAGTCTCTTACCACAGTGTGACTTAAACTAGCACATAATCAGTCTAAGTCCTATTTGTGATTTACTAAATAATCACACAAAAGCTTAATAATAGCAGACAGTAATTCTGAAATGCAACATCTATTTAAAACCCAAGCTTGACTTCTGTCTATAAGTATCACATTTGTGTCTGTTTCTAAATCTTCCTAAGAACTGGATAATTCTTCTGTAATGAGTGGAATCTTCATTCTTGAAGAGAACTGAACCACCTGGTGTCCACAAAGTTCTTTAGCATCTCCTCCTCCTCAATTTAAAAACACTTTCCAAAAGTGACCTCAGATTGGTCACTAGGTCATGACACTCTTGACTCATAGTCAGTGGGAATTTGAAAGAGATCAGTGGAAGCTGCAAACACATGGGTTTTAAAAAGTTAATTTTCTAAGCCTTTAAGTGCTACCAAATCACCACCACATGCTTATTTTTACATCTAAAGTTATAAATGCCCGTTAAATGGAGATTTACACTTCTCCAATTTTAATGGTTTGCAAGTCAAAAACAGAAATGTAGGTATGAGAGGAATAAGGAGATAAGGATAAAATAAGAGGATCACGACGAAAGGAGATTCTCAAAAAGAATTCTATGGTGCCAAGGAAAACGAGAACTAGAGAACTCTTGTACTTTCAAATCACTTCCAACAAACAAATGATACTTTAATATATATTCATATATATATATACATATATATACACACATATATGCATTTATACACACATATATATGTGTGTGTATATATGCATATATATAAAGAATTTCTCAAATGATGTCACCAGTTAGGGTATCCAAATCTCTTCAGAGTGTTGGCAGGTTAACTCTAACGTAAAGAAAGCTTCATCTTTTGGGAAAGGATCCTGAGATGTTAGAACCCTTAAAGGGATCACCTAACTTTTCTAGTCTTTGTGCACACCACGAAAGTTAAGACTCATACTGCAGAAGGCACTTACTTGCCAGTTACCAAGTTAGTAAGTAATTAACAGTAGAGGCTTTCTGATTTCCCAATCTATGACATTTACCAGGCGTGTTTGTTTTTCTTTAACCCCTTCTGCTCCCTGGCATTGTGGCAGTTTTTTTTTTCTTTGAAACGCCTTTCTGTTCCCACCTATATCTTCTTTCCTTTTCCTCTTACCTACAGTGTGCACACCAAGATCCTTACTTTCCAGTTTCGCAGTTTCTAAAGAACAGCTTAGCTGAAGCACTGGGCATGCTCAGTAGCTTCCCTGCCACCCCCACCCCCTTCCTCACCCAAATAGAACTGTAAAGCTCTGAGAACTGCAGCCAGGTGACCCTTTAACAGTAGCCACAGTCCCCAGGAAAAAGTTAAGCTGCTCGCTCCCCCGGTGGACATTTACAGTTCTCTAAGTAGACATGCAAATGCCATGCATCCGGTGCCAGAGCCAGGTCACCGGTGGCGAGCCAGCTGCGTAACTGTACGCGTTTAAAGTAGAGAGTGCATCTATACTAGTTTTCAAACAGGGGGGAGAGATGAACGGAAGTTGGAGAAAGACATCCTAAGATTTTTAACAGCACAACGAACCGCCTGCTAGGTCAAGAGTGCAAGAAGAGGTGGAAAATATGATGGCGAATTCAGGTCTTTGTGTCTCAGGAGGGGACGACCACTAGGATTAGCCCGGGCCCCTACCCACCCCTTTCCTCCCCACTCCTGGCAGCCTCTGGAGCATCGGTGCAGCATGCACTGGCCTCGAGCATGGCCCAACTTCCAGCCCCCGGGGCCTCTGGCCCCGAATGAGTGCAGGGATTGCGGGAAGGGAGCGAGGGGTCGGCAAGTGCGGTGGCAGAGCTGAGCTGGAGCCCCGAGCCGGGTGCCGGTACCTACCGAAGAGGCTGTGGTCCTGCCGGGTGCCCTGCACGCTGCCGTCGGGCAGGATCTGCAGGTGGAAGCCGGTGCGGCAGTAGAGCTGCCGGCGGCGCAGGATGCCGTGCAGGTGCGCCAGCTCCGCAGACCCCGGCCCGCCGCGGGCGCCCCGCTCCGCCGCGCCCCGCCGCTCGCCCAGCAGCGGCGGCCGCTCCCCGGCCGGAGGCAACAGGAAGTGCGAGCCCACCTGCTGACCCAAACCCTCCAGGCCGCCCAGGAAGCCCCCCACTTCGGCTAAGGGAGCCATGAAGGGGCCAGGAGGAAAGGGGGGAAATCCGAAAAGCGGAGCGGAGGTGAAGAGTTGGATGGAGGGAAATTCTAGCCGTCCCCCACAACAAAAGTTAAGCCAGGTTACTCCTGTGAGGTCGCTGGTAGGGACTGTGCACTGGGCTAGCCGGGCGGATGGCACTGTCTGGAAGTGATCTTCTCTCCTGGGCTAGCCGCTGCTGGCTGTGTAGAAGCATCTATAGCTGCCGCGGCTAGCAGTACTGGGCTGGGGCAGAGGGGCTGGGGCTCCAACTCGGCAAACGGATCAGATCCGAGTCCTGTGTACATACACTGCGTCTATATATGCGGGTCCTCTTGACATATGCTAATCAAGTCCTTTCATGCGCCCTGGGGAGGCTGGTTCTGTTTGAAATCTTAAACCAGCCTCCTCTCAACACGTTTTTGCTCTTCCCAAGTGACCAAAAAGGGGCCCTGGGCGGTTCTCGAGCCACGCATTCGCAAAAATCATTCCTGCACTGGGCCTGCAAAATTCAGGGAGGCTCAGGGGGTGTCCCCTCTTTGGGACAACGGTGATGATGTTTGGTGGCCGCTTGGCAAACGTCTTTGATGTGAACTCCTCTACAGGGATAGATCACTGCCTAGCTTGGCAGTATAGGGAAGAAGGCGGGCGGGAGGGGAGAGACAAAACAGAAGGGGATGGGTGGGAGGAGAAAAGGAGAGAAGAGGAGGAGAATTGGACTCCTTGGGAACGCCTGGGAACTTGCCCTGGACAGGTGCAGAGGAAGGTAAGAGAGAGAAGGAAAAAGGGCGTTACCCCAGGCTTAGACCTGCCCAGACACACATGAAAGGAAAATCAAAGCCTTGACAGTTTAACTCACTAATTTTAAAACACTAATAAAATGTACCAGTATCACTCTTTTCTTTTATCATTTAGATGGGGGATTTTTCTTTACATAATCAAGGTATGGTTAGAAACACCTATTTCCCCCCTCCCTTCCTTAAGTTCTCTTTAATCTTTATTTTTACTCAGATAACGTATGATATGACCAGGATTGCCTTCCATCCACATGGAGGTTTAAAAATTGTATGCCAAAGTCCTGGACTTTTAAGTTGCATCATATAGCAATGTAGGGTAATCATGCATCAGTGGATTGAGACTGGTCTACATTCTTATCTTTTGTCATAAATAGACAGTAAGTATGTGCAAGAGCATCATAAACGATGAACAGCCTAAAAAACAAGATTTTTTGTTCATATTTCAATTATAAAACCTAAGGCCAAATGAAAATAGTGTTGGTGCTTGGTGAGTTTTTAGACTTCGAACGTTATTGGGGAAAAAAATTGAGTTCTTTACATTTTTCTAAAACTGGAAAGCCACTAAAGTGAGAGATTGAGATGCATTTAAATGTTAAAAACTTTGGTTTTGTATCACAAGTTAAATTAAAAATCTTTCCAGAAGAGCTAAGAATTATTCTTGATTTAGGTTTCCTTTGAACCAAGAATTTTGGAGACCATTCAAGATTAGTTTTTCAATATTATCTCATTATTTTTCAGTAAAAGCCTAAACTTAAGATTTCAGTTGAATTTGACTGGTTTATTTTATCTGAAGATTTGGTTTGGGTTTGTTGTTGTTATCTAATTAATTCTCAGATCCCTTAAAGTAGGTAAGGTTGCACATTTTCATCACTATACACTTATCTACAGACCCCTGTACAGCCAAGTTATAAAAGAAGCTGTAAAACAGTAATAGATATTAAATAAAACAAAAACACTGGCTAAGAGCAATAAACAGATAAGTTACTTTCGAAGTGTGTCTTAGGTCTGTTTTAAAAGCTGTACCAGGTAAGTGTATCATTTCACATTTCAAACAACAGCACTCTGTGGTGGGACCCCCAAATCCACCATAATCAAGATTTCAAAGCACATCTGTGTAAACACTATCACATCAGTGTAAAACATCAACCAATGAGCTTTTACTTTGAACCAAATCTTCTTAATTGCAGTGTTAAATCAAAGAAAGATCAAAGTTGTGTGCATCTTATAGCGGGATAACTCAAGTAGCCAGAACATACATTGATTACTTTTAAAGAGGAGATACTTAAAGGTTTTAAAATTAGATCAAGTGATGTTTAATGAGGTTTGTTTCAAGGTCTAAATTCTATACACCATATAAAGACTGTTAATTATTCCATAATGAATATGTGTTATCATCAGCTGCTCATTTAGGTATTAAAGTCTATAATAGTATTTTCTCATATGAACACTTGAATAATCTATAGTTTTGACACTGCTCAAATATACTAAATTAGACAAACACATAGATACAAACATAAACACATGCTATTTTAATATGGGAAAATATTCACATGTTCACCAATGCTCAAATATATTTATAATACCTAACTTGTCTTTGTACATTTCAGCATTTTATATGCATCCTTTCATTTGATTACTACAATAAATCTAGAAGATTGGCATACTCACTTTACAGAGACAAAATACTGTCTTGAATTCTGTCTGGTCTTTTTAGTCTGAAGTCCAATGTCCCAAGACAATTTTTATTTTATAAAATAAGGGCAGTGTAACACCTGCATAGTTCACTATGCCTAAAGTTGCTGTGAAACTCAAATGTAAAAACATATTTAGAAAAGAGATCTTAAGGCTATGAGGTTTTCTAGGCATAGAGTTCTGGACAGCCTCAATTGCTGTGAAAATTTTTCCTTTTATTTTATAATTTAGCAAGTGCAATTTGTTGGAAATGTAAAGCAAATCTTTCTCTTTTCTCAAACCAAACCTTTAATGTGTAAGTTCTGAATGGTGCTTAATGCCATTTTATAAAGGACCAGGATAGAAACAAAAAGATAAGGATTTCTTTTGTTTGTTCTTGTCACGTGACAGGAAAAGATAACACTAAAGATTTTTTTTTTGCACACGCTGTGATGATATCATGGGAAGTTAAATAATTTTGAAGTGTTTTACATTATTCAACTTTTAAGCATACACTGCAATCTAATCAACTTTACCTGTACTTCCTAGAGACCACACTTGCCTTGCTGTTATACAAATATGTGGTACAATTTCTGCTTCCACAAGACATATTCACAGTTTTCGAGACCTTACATAGTTTTTTATGCTGCTTTTAGCCAGTTTATTGTCACGAACCTTAGTTTATACATGGTGAAAAAAGTTAAAAGAGTTGATAGAGCTAAATGTATTTTACTTTTGAGAAAGATTTTGAGAAAGATAAGTTATGATTTATACCTCCCAGTAAAATAAGAGTACATCTACACAATATTATTTATGCTTTATAATTACAAAACATTGTCAACAGCAGGGTGTGGATGGTTTATGCCTATAATCCTGGCTACTTAGGAAGCCAAGATTTGAGGGTCATGATATGAAGCCATCTTGGGTAGGACAATAGGTGAGATTCTTATCTCCAATTAACCACCATAAAGCTGTATGTGAAGCTGTGGCTCCAGTAGCAGAGCACTAGTTTTGAGCAAAAACAAAAACAAAAGTTCAGGGACAGGGCCCAATTCCTGAGTTCAAGCTCCAGTACTGGCACACGCACAAAAAAGTTAACAATACAAATATGGATATACAAGAAACTGTTTGAATAAATTATGATACAACAAAGCATTATAAAATAAAGAACTGGATGAACTGGTAGTGTGTTAAGTGAAGAATATAAAATACGAACAAGTTTACCTATGTGCTATCTTTCCTGTAAGACAGAAAGAAAACAAAAAATTTCTCTTTTTTTCTGTCATGGGACTTGAATTTAGAGCACTGTTTTTTAGCTCTTTTGCTCTACCACTTTGAGCCACAGCTACATTTTCAGGTTTTTTGGTGGTTAATTGGAGATAAGAGTCTCACAGACTTTCCTGTTCTGGCTGACCTTGACCCATGATCCTCAGATCTCAGCCTCCTGAGTAGCGAGGCATGAGCTACTGGTGCCTAACTAAGAAATTTCTACATGCGTATAGGTACCTTGAAAAATGAGGGAGGGAGTAACAGTTTGACAAGAAATGTACTCATTACCTTACGTGTGTAACTGTAACCCTTCTGCACATCACCTTGACAATATTTTTTTAAAAAAAAGAAAGATAAATTGGAAAAAAAGAAAAAACAAGCCTGATGAAAATAGTTATATAGCACTGGCTAAAGACCCTGGGGCTGATCTTCAGTACTATAAATAAATAAGTAAATAAATACAGACAGAATATAATGCATAAATGAAATCTCATGAAACTCTTTGCCCAGTGGATAAAATGGAGAAAGGAGGGAGTGATATATCTTTGCAAAATTTTTGTGAAGTTTCGACTTTCAACAAAATGTTTAATGTTTTAAGTAAAATGAAATAAACAAGGATTGTGGAGAAAAAATGAAATAAGGTAGAAATAAATGAACCTAGCTGTGTAGATTCAAGAGAATGTGTTACACAACCAAGTACATAATATAACTGCACAGAAGGTCACATCATTTTTTAATTAGCAATTTTCAAGTGCAGTTCTTCGATCATATAATGAATCTTTAAAGACTAAAATAACTAAAAATTAAACATATATTAAATTTCAGTGAGAAGGATAGTTTGCCTCAGTGGTAAGAGTTATAGTATTAAGCAAACAAGAAAATATATTAAGGAAAATGTCTCTGAAGGTTGAGAAATGCATGCATGTGGTGCACAAGTGTGTGTGTGTGTGTATCTGCTCTATCCATTAAAAGGGTTAAGAAGCATGCACAAGCAAAGGCAAGGGGCACCACTGATGTCTAAACTCTGGTTTCCCAATACATCTTGGCACTAAGATATCTCAGGAAAACTTAGGGAAATAGCATCCTTTGATTGGACATCTTCTTGTGATAGAAGGCAAGGAAGTACTCAAAAAATGATGAAAAGTTAAAAATAAAAAGGATCATAAACCAAATCTAGAGTAACTTGAACACTGAAATAAATAATAACAGTATCAAAATAGGATAAAATAATCTTTGAATACAATTGTTTAAATAAGCAATCAA